TATGGTGATCACATCACGAGGTATATAAAGGCTGAATGACAATGTTGTATACCTGAAACTACACAATAGTGTATGTCAGTTATACTTTAATAAAAAATACAACTTGGGCACAGGATGTGAAAATCAACAGGTGGCCAACAAAACATCCCCATTCCAGGCAGTGTTATCAGCAGCCATTACAACAGCGCTCTTAAGTGTTGTCATCATTCTTTATTCAGGTTAGTAATTTGTCCTTGAAAAAGAGAGGAGTGGGTCACAGTATGTTTGCTTGAGTTCTCGATGATACAAATACATAGATATGTACACAGAGAAATGAAGAAAAAGGGAGGATTTATGAAAAGCTAGGCCATGTAAGCACACTAAACATGACTAACAGTCTATGGGGGCATGTGACTGTTACTGGGAGAGCAGAGTTGTTTCAACCTACGCCTATCACATCGGGGAAGGCAGTTAATGTTTATTCTGTCAAGACATTGATCACACGAAGCCTAAATGTATTAACCGGTACTCCAGCCCATGGAAACAAGAATAACATTATGACCAGCTAGCAATTATTCTTCCAGATGAAATGGAGGATAATATTTTTGCACAGTATTTGTTTGCTTTTTTAAGGCGATCCCCACACCGGATGAGTCTGTTACGACACGTAGATTTACAGCAGAGGAGAATGACTTCCCCGGAGTCACAGCACAGCAACGGGAGCCAGGTCTGTCTCTTCACGTCCTCTTCGACTTGCCGCCTCCAAGGAGCCATTTCCCATCCCAATACTGGGACCAGTTTCTAAGCAGAATTTTATCTGAGTTTCATAGCATTTAAGAAAAGAACACTGAGTCCCTAAGGATACCACTAGAGTAAAATGTTTTTCAAACTGCAGGTCCAGGTTGATGAACTATGAGGTAGAACCAATTAAAAAGTACCAAGTGTCATCACGCAGAATAAGGCTACGTTTTGTTTCTTGCCCATTTTACATGTGCACACATATGTGTACATACACTAGGCCATCACACAAGATTTGGGTTTTGCTTTGGTCCACAGGCGAAACGTTTCAAAGCGGGTGTCTGGTGGGGAGAGCCCAGGCTTTGGCGTCGCAGACAGGTCTGAGTCGGGATGGTATTACTGCTGCTGCCGCTCCTGTAAGAATTCCCGTGACAGCATCCCCATCAGTTCTCCTTGGGAGACCAAAGACGATTCCCTCTCTCGAATAGTAGCCCCCTGTACAGTGGCTGGTAGAACCTTCTCATTGGCAGCAAAACTATTTGTTATAATTTAAGATGAAAAGAAAAAGCTGTGCTCATCCAACCAATGTATATCAAGGCACAGCCTAAACTCCATGAAGTCAGAAATCATACCCTTTTCCCCAGCACTCAGGCCAGAGCTTTGAAACAGTAGGAACTCAGGGAATATTTGGAATGTAACAATGGTTGAAGAAGTAAGACTGAATGAACCAATGAGTGACTTTTCTATAGCAAACAACGTAGACAGAAATGAGTAAGACTTAATCTGGGACTTCAAGAAAATTTGTATATATTTAATTTATATATATTACATATTAAGTTACATATGTCTTAATTCATGTTTTCAACAAATATTTATTTAGAAATTACTATTTTCCAGGCACTTTGCTAGGTACTGCAGTAAACAAAAGAATCGTATTTGTTCCCTAAAGCTGAAAATATATTGTGTAATAATCTGTCACAGTAAAAGAATAAAATGTAAGTGTTATACAGGGCACCAAGAAATAATATAGTAGCAAAGTCTAATCTGAATGCAGAAGACAGTGAGGGAAGACTCAGAAAATAGCTCCATGAGAAAATTATATTTAGCTTGAGCCTGAGGATTAAAAGCTAGAAGCTCTTTTCTCCCCTTGTAAAAGGGGACAGACAAAGGGCCAATGTAGCTTGACAGGCTGAACAAGAAGAAACTGGTAGGGGGTGAGGTGAGAGAGGTAGGAAGGAGCCAAACCATGAAGACCCTAACCCCTCCCCGAGGGTCCTGATCAAAGGGAAATGGGAGAGTGGCATGATCACGCCTGCATTCTAGAGAAATCTCTTCAATGGATAGCAGCTTGGAGGAAGAAATAACTGTAGATGTTGTTAGGAGGCATCTTGATGGAAATTTCAGAAAGCCAAAGGGGAATCCATATCACCGTCTTAGACGTGACAGTGTAAGGTGGTGAGAAATATCCAGAATTGAGGTTATTTTGGACACAGATTCAAGATTAGAACTTGGTAACAAACTAAGTGTGAAAGATGGTGCATGGTAAGGCCAAGGGAGACATCAAGGAGAACACTGATTGGTTTTGGCTTCACCAATCAGTTGGAAGAAACAGAAGCCATGAGAGACTGAAAAAAAATATTTTGTTGTGAGTGATCAAACAGCAGTGCAGGACATATTAATTCTGAAGTGTCTATGGGATGTCCAAATTGTCATGAAGACACTTAATGTCTGGTCTAAAGATCAGAAGAGAGATACAGAAAAGAGTAACATATTTTGGAGATCTCTCCCCCCCCCCATATAGAGAAATATATATATATATCTCACTAATATAATGCAAATAAATGAGCTCATCTAAGGAAAATAAACAGTGAGGCACAAATAGGGCCCAGGACCAATATTTGAGAAACTCCAATTCTTCACACATTAGAGGAACAAGATTCAAAGGGGATGGAGAAGATACAAGGATGGAGAAGCTAAGAGGAGATGTAGGGGGCTGTGCAGTTATGAAACCCAAGAAAAGAGATGGCATCGAAGGTGACCAAGTGTGGAGTATTAGAGGCCACATGCTCTGAAAGAATCTCCAGGCGATTAGTCAGCCTGAATTGGTGACCTAAACAAAAACAAGTTCACTAGCAGCAGCAAAGGAGGAAGCTAGAATATGAAGGGTGAAGCAGAAATGGAAGACAGGAGAGCCAGCCATAGACACAAACAGTTTCAACACCGTGTTGTTATGTGTTCTATTCAAGCATGCTTAAAATGCCACAGAAGCCCAGAGGGAGCTAAGGAAGTTTTCCAGTAAGACACCACATTCAAACTGAGTCTTAAAAACCTAGGAGGAATTTATTCATGTATAAGTATAAAGAGGAGCATTCTAGTTAGATGAAACAGCATTACATACACTGAAAAAACAGCAACAATAAAAGTAATAGTCGTGGATAATATTTCTAAGTGTTTGCCATGTGTTAGAAACTGTTCTAAAAGCTTTGCAGGTGTTAATTCACCTAAAATGCAAAATCGACCTCCTCCTCCTCCTTCCACCGTCTGTCTCTTGCCTTGGCCGAGGATGGGCTACGCTGGTTTTCCTGCTGCTGTTCTTGCCTCCTGGGTTATTCTCATGGAGCAGTGAAAGTGACCTTTGAGAAGAACATTCTATTGTGTCATTACAGCTGCCACAAATCTCCAGAGGCTTTTCCCTTTGATCGAAAAACAAAGCCCTTTATTATCTGGGCCCCTCCTGCTGCCTTCATCTATCATCCTGGATCTCTCTCCAACAAGTCAGGCAACTTTCCGTCTCAGAGCCTTTGAACTTGCTGTTGTTTTTCTCTGCCTGGTGTGCTTGTTTCTGGATATTCACGTGGCTTGGATGTCGCACTTCCTTCCTGTCTCTGTTCAAATGTCACCTTCTCGGCAAGGCCTTCTCTGATCAATCGAACAATAGCTGCCTTCCAGCACACTTATCTTCGTTATCCATCTTCTCCATATTTATCATAATCTGATACACTTTATAGTTTTTTTCTTATTACCTGTCTTCCCCAACTAAAATTCAGTGGGAGCTCCAGGAGGGTGAAGACTGTCATTTCTGTTCACTAACAGGTCCCTGGAGATGAGTACAGTTCTTAACATACGTGAGCATCGAGGAGGGTCTGAGATTCTACCCTACGTGGAAGCTGCCAAGCGAGCCTGCCATGGTTAAATGGATGCTGGCAGGAGACACAAACTCCTCGGTCAGAGACAAGCGACTTAATTATTCAGTAACCATCGTCAGGGTGTCAGCATTTGTTCTCGTTTCCCAAGCCCCCACGTCCACAGGGTGAGCTGAAGAGGGCCCGTGGGGCCTGAACAGAAAGGGCGTGTGTTACAAGAGTTGGGGGCCAGGCTTTCTAAAAATCCCCCATCTTTTTAAAAGGCTACTGAAGGAGATATTATCTTTATTACACTAAACATAAACAAACCTCCCCTTTATTCCACAGGGAGATACCAGTTCACTTTCCAAGGCCACCTGCTGTACAAACACTCTTGAGAAGATTGGCTGAAACACACGTGGTCAGTGCCCCAACGTACAGGACACAAGAAACATGAGATGATAAAGAACTGTCTCCCAATGACACCTGGCAGACACAATACGTATCTTTGAATGGAAGGTCAACACTTCCATTTCAAAGTGTTCAGTATTATTATTATTATTTCAACTCTCCATGAATAAACTGAGACACAGCAAAAGTGAACTCTATCTCCAATACCATGGAGCTGGTCAGCGTCCCTGGCAAGCTCACACACATCTCCGGAAACTGAGTCCTCCCAGTCGCTCAGCTGTCCCTCTGTCAGCTACTTTAGGCTTTGTCAGTGGGTGACAGAAAAAGAGAGAAAGAATAAAAAAGGGAAAAGCTAAAGAAAATCAAGAAAGAATGAAGAGGGTTTTTTAAATATGCACGCCTGTTCAGATATCCAGAAGTACCGGCACAAGGGACCTTTGAGTCCCCTTACAGAAGAAAAAACCAGGGCTGAAGAAAGGAAAGGCCTCCCCAAATTGCAGAGCAGGCCATGGCAGGAACCAACTCACTAACCACCAGAACCCTTGTCCTGACAGAACCTTGGCCTTGCACCTTCCAGGCGCATGACATTCTTTTCTCCTCTCTTACACAGATGACACTACCCAAACCTGGGGGCCAGGCTACACGACGAAGTCAATCAATAACCAAGGAGACCTGTGACACGAGGCAGTGGGTGGAGCCTGGGTTGCCAACCTGCCTATATAACTCTTCCAATCCAAAGGTTCTAAAGAGAAGTGGTAACTTCAGTGTGGTTTTCAGCTGAGCTCAGGACACAAAACCTTAGCCATGAAGGTAACGGCCATCTTTCTACTCAGTGCCTTGGTCCTGCTGAGTTTATCTGGTAGGTGTCTTTGCATATTTTTCTGATTTGAATTAATCACCTTTTCACCTGTTGCTTTACCAGGCACATTACCTTCTAGACTGAGACAGAGTCTACTCTTCAACAGAACTTTTGGTCCCAATGAGATGAAATAAGATCAATGGATAAGAATTATAGAAAGAGGAATTTTAATGTAAAATAAGGAAAACAGTTTTTAAACATTGTTTACAAAAGGAGACTTAAATGTAACTGCAAGTTAGTTTTGCGTCAGAGGACCTGGTTACCTGGTTGCTGCTGCTTGTTAACTATTTTCACAGTAACTATACAAACTTGACCAATAAACTGAGGTAAAGACACCTATACTTTCTGTATCACTAATAGTGAGATCTAAGGTCTAAGTAACTGGTTGTGGGGCTGTCAGTGAGCATTCAGAGGACCTCTGCTCATTTCAAACAGTGACCATACCATTTCTATTTTCAAGGAAATGGATCAACTTTTCTGAAATATCAAATTGAGATACTTCAGACATGGTCACATTTTTGCTTGATTTTTTTGAGGTTTCAGCAGGCAGAGAGCGAGGGGACACCAAGGCGATCTCCTTGAGAGGAAACAGGAAGAAGCGGGGGTTGGGGGTGGAACATGCCGGCAGGGATGCCACAGTCTGACGTGGAAACAGAGAATTCTGAGGAGAAGAGATCTAGCATCTCCCATTCAGAACCCGACTTCACATGTCTGATTTATGTTTTCTAGGTAACGGTAGGGCTGAAGTCTCAGGAACACAGGTAAAGACAACTTTATAATCTCTTATTTCTCAGGCTAGAGCTGTTTGTTCTGACCAAAGCGCAGTCTAGTTGGCACCTTTTGGTTTAGCCTGAAGTCCAGAGGAGGACCATGAATTCCTCATTTGGCTGTAAACCCAAAGAAGCAGAAGTGATTCGATTTGATTCCCGTTTTAGGCCGTATGCAACAGTAACGTGGATGGATGCACCAAGATCCATGACCCCATCTGTGGGACCGATGGAATCACTTACTCTAATGAATGCGAGTTATGTATGGAAAATAAGTGAGTAGAAACTTAAATTTCTTGCAAAATACATTTTAAGTTCGTTGTTTTCAAATTTTCATATATCTTATCCCTTGGAGCCCCAAATCAATATACCAATACCATCCGTCTTACCATGAAAGAAACCAAACATCTTGTTTTTTCCAAAAACACTTCTCAATCTTTTTTTCTCCTAATTATATATCTGGTATGATTATATACACAGGAGTGTGTGTGTGTGTGTGTGTGTGCGCGCGCGCGCACATGCATGTGTATTGACAGAGAATAATATTTATTGTGTCAAGCATTGGGCAAGGCACTTAATGTTCACAGAGTCATGAGGTAAATAATCCCAAGCCCTTTATACAGATGAAGAAACTGAAACTCGGTTACCTGATATAACTTTCTCAAGGTTACCCGGCGGTAAGTGGCAGACCTGGGACCTAACTCTTTTTCTTTCCACTATGCTTTACTGTCAAACTAAACCAGACTAAAGATCTGTGAGATGCAGAAGAAAACCCAGCATGCTCCGTCTCTCAATTTGCCTATACTCAAGGCTAACACAGTGTGGCCAATGGAAGTATAAGCACAGTGCTCAGAGAGTAGCAAATTCAAAACAACCCATTATGCCTGCTAGGATTTGGGAGTTTAAAGGCTTTATGCCACAAAGGAGGAGAGAGACCAAAAATAAATAAATAAATAAATAAAAAAGGAAAAGAAACGGAGACAGGAATCAATAACAGGGTGTAACATAAAACAAGGACAATAAAACAGAGGAGGGAGAGTGTTTGAATAGTTCTCTCATGAATTTAAAAAAAAAATCCCTTGTATGATGAAAACCCCATGCTTTTATTGCAAAACAGTAGATAGTCTGGATTTTTTTAAAAAGCTCATGCACCTAAAATACCCTTAAATTTAAAAGGTCATTCTGGGTGATAGTCATGAATGCGTTTACTAAAACTTCAAATATGCAAATATGAATTACATAGATTAGGTGGCCAAAACACATTTTTGCAGCACTGTTATTTATGGACAGGAGAGCTGGCCTCGAGGAAGCTCATTGTCTGAAGTGACGATGGGCCGGAGGTGGGAAACAGGCTGGGCGCTCAGAGAAAGATCTGCCCCAGGTGTTCTGTCTTACTCAACTGCTGGACACGTAACATGTGCCAAGCATTGAGCTAGTCTCCTCGGCTTTTCTTGTGCTTGTGACTAGGAGGAAATAGGTCAGGAGCACCAATAAAGTAGAGACAAATGCCCCTAAATGAGTTGTGAGCAAACTTCTCTGGGAGTGGAGGAAAGATATAGATTTCTTCTTACCGAAAGAGTCAAGAAAGGATTTATGAAAAGTATGTTATTTAAACAGGGCTCTGAATTTTGTGGTAGCATCACAAAAGTATTTCAGGTCAAATAATGGTGTAAAATGAAAAAGAGATTCTACAAGCGGCCCAGGAAACCCAGATATTCAGCAACTGATTTGATATTAAGACTTTGATTTAGGCTCACAGGACTCCATACATTTCCATTATTCCACTGTATAAATTCCCTATACCATGAACCCTCTTCTCGCTCTGCTTTAAATCCTTTCAGAAAACTCTCAATGTTTAACAAGGATTGCGGAAATAGGTCCTCAGGGAGACAGATTTAATACCCTAAGTTTTAGGCCAAAAATATTAGGTGTTGGCTCTGTGGTGAATTTATTTCCACATTAACGACTTGTAAGAGGAAGTTGAAAACACCCGTTAATTTTCTCATGACCCATGTTGTTGACGTTAAGGTCAAACATCGTATTTCGATCCAAGGGGAGGAGAAAGCACCAGAACAGCCTTGAGACTTGAGAAATTTCCAAGTGCCAAGACCAAAAGGCCCAATATTTAGTGAAATGTATTGGGAAAACATGAGCACAGAGCTGGGATACCCACCCTATTCCCTTAGCCTTTAAAATCTACCAGTCCTGCTTGCTCTCTCCATTCTTTAAAAAAAATACGTAAATATGGGAGGAACATTTGACCCCCAGAAAATGTAACTTCTCATCCTGTATTTTTTCAAATAAGAACACAGGTCTACAGAGAAAATGTAGCTTTCCCGAATGCAACATCTTTTCCACTGTACCATATTGCCCATCTCTCTCTACTGCCCATTAAAAGCACAGAGAAATGCATCGCATACTTAACAACTTAACCCCTAGCTGTTGGGTTTTGCGATGGGTAGACAACCAGGGCCTTTTATCTCCTTGGTTATTATGTGCTGGGAAGATACACTCAGTAGGGACCTTTTCCTATATCTTCTGTGTCTTCTTTGGGACTGTGTACTGGCAAGTTCTTTTCGGTGCCCTCCAGCAGAACTTTCTGCAACGATAATGATCTCTCTCTGTGCTACCTTGTTTCATAATTATTAGCCACTTAATAATTATGGCACTTAAAATGTGCTTAATACAACTGAGAAACTGGATTTTAATATCAGTTAGCTTTAACTGATTAAATGAAAATAGCTCTATGTGGATTGTGTCTACTATACTGGACAACTAGAGAGAAAACTTGAGTGCTCCATTTAGATGCTTGTATATGCTAACTCAGAAATAAGTATTATGAATGGTTAATAATTATGAGACAAGAAAGCATCAAAACCCTTAAAATAACAAAACTCAGCAAGGTCCAGATAAATATATGCATAAAGATACAGAAAAGTCAGATGTCCTCAAGTAATAGAGAAACAGAAGAAATTCTATAAGCCAGTACATTCAAGGAAAGGCCGAATAGAAAAATGAGAGATCTGGAAACAAGCTCACAGGGAATAATGAAAGGATCTGGAAATATTTAGCTTAGAGAAGAGGATACTGGTTTGGGAAAGGTGGTGGGAAGGCAGAAAAGTTTTTATGTGGAAGTGAGGATGCTTAGAGCCGGCAGGTGCCACATGGAAGAGAGAGATGACCTCCTTTTGTGAGATCTCACAAATACAAATCCCCAGAGTTCTAGGGGAAAGATCAATCAGTCAGAAGGCCCCACAGTAACCCAGGCACCAACCTGGACACATGGTGCTTAGGGCAATTACATCAGGAGCAACAAAAGCAAGGATGGACTAGAAATTAATTTCAGAGGTTGACTGTAATGCCCTGGTAGATGTGTAATGACAGATCTTTTTTCTTTCTGTTATATCCCTAATGTATGTAATAGTCAATCAATATTTGATGAATAAATAAGTGAATGAAAGGAATAAAAATAGGGATCAATCTCAAACTTTTCCAGGTAGCTCAGCTGGTGAGAGCTTCGTGTCATCCTGATACACCAAGGTTGTGGGTTCGATCTCTGGTCAGGGCACATACAAGCAACTGATGAACGCATAAATAAGTGGAACAAAAAATTGATGTCTGTCTCTTTCTCTCCATCCCTCCCTCCCTTCCTCTCTCTAAAATCAATTTTAAAAAACCTCTATTTTAAATAGAGCTAAACTTCTTTCATTGTTTTTCTCCCATAGTTACATTTTTTTGTCAGCAAAGTTTAAGCTAAATTTTTTTTCAATCTCTTCTACAGGAGGCGCAAAATTCCTGTCCTCATTAAAAAGCGTGGGCCTTGCTGAGAACCGAGGTTCGGAAATCCTGTAAGGTTACCACGATGCCCAGCTGGCCTGATTGTTGAATAAAATGCATCTAAATACTTCCTGTGGTTCCCATAGCCTTTATTTTCAAAGGCATCTTTGATTACAGTGGGGACAGAAGGCCGAGTTTATGAAATCCAGCAATCCTGTGTTTTCAGACAGGGTTTCCTGCATGGTGTTTTTTCCTTCCCCACCTTCCTCACATTCTGAGGACTCTGTCTCAGGAAATGTGGCTGCAGATATTAAGTGACAGGACACAGATGATCATCGATACATTTAGTATCAGACCAGAATTTTCATGAACTGTTCGAAAACTAGTCCAGAAACATGTTACCCAGCACCTTTCACTACTGAAATGATTCCTTTAGGTTTCCCTGGGATTTAACTGAGCATCCATCGTGCCTGGCACTGGTCGATGTACACATAGGCAAGATTTCAAAGAGCTGTCTATCTCGTAGAAAACAGTTTAGCCTTAAGAGTCCCTCTATCTCCGAGTGTAGACTTCAGCTGAGACATGATTTTCTCAAAGAGGTTCTGAATCATTGAGGAAACCGAAAAGGCTGCATTTCCTCAGCTATGCCGTGGAGTAGCCTCTGTGTTCAGCATTAATTCCTCCTCAGCAGAGGTAATGAATTCCCTATCAGGGGCTAAGCTGAATACCAATGATATGGAGCTCTCTGTTTTCCCTGGTACTGAAGGTCTGGCTGGAGAACTTCCCAGAACTTGACTTAGAGACGCAGGTCTTACGGCCTAAGGGGCTTGCACTGAGATAACGAGAAAAGCTGATCCTGAATTATTTTGAGGAATCACCTCTTTTACCCCCAAACCATCCCCAAGAGAAGACCTGGCAAGGAAGGGACCATAGACCAGATGTCCTGACCACGAGGGTGCTGCGTGGTTCCCTTTACCACACACGTGAGCCACAGCAACCTTGTAAGGTTGTCTTTATCTTGTGAGTATACTTAGGAAAGTGAAGTGCTGACTCCAGATCTAGTGCTGCTTCATCTATAGCACAATTACCTCTGGTGGATTATTCCTTGTCTATTTCTTCTGTAGAACTTCAGGCAAGATCCTCATATGAAAAGGCCTACGTGTTTATATTCAGAGATGGCACACAAGGTAGAAATAAAGAATTACCTCCAAAAGAAGAAAGTATTTATAATTACTGAAAAGGCAAAGGAAAAGGAACTTAAATTCCTGAGCTCATGAAGAGAACTAGCCTAGAATGGAGAAATGGACAGAGGGCTAAAAGGGCCTGAGTTGCATCAGGTTCCCTGATATGTAGAGGGGAATGAATCATCCATCGACCCAGAAGTAGCCAGTCAAGATCTGTCCCCACACCTGCAAAAGACTGACACAAAAGTTTATTCTAATTTCTTATGATATTCAGAAGGTAGATGTCTTGATGTTTACATCTGACCACTAGGGGGTGCTGTGGTCTGCCAAGTGACTCAGCCAAACAAGCCCGGAAGGCTCGCCAGACTGCATGCTAACAGAAGTTGTGAATGCAAGATGGCTTCCAGCATCTTGTCCTTGATGCTAAAGGACACATGAAGGGCACCCCTAATATTACAAAACTTTGCCCGGGTAAGCAGAATTTGAATCACTGAATGCTAGAAATAGTCAATGTCTAATTGAACTGTTTCACAGGTCTGTAGATAAAAGGTTTGGAGATTATAGGCAGAAGCAACACATAAACCCAGACTGCCTGCCTTTAATGGTTCTCTCTCTCTCTCTCTCTCTCTTTCTCTCTCTCTCTCTCCCCCTCCCTCCCTCCCTCCCCTGTTAAAAGATAAACTGCAGCAACTCACACTTCTGCCTGGTCATCTCTTTGGGACCCCCAACCTGACTGCTGCCAAGTCAAGTTCTCAGGACACAAAAGAGAACAAACAAGAAGGAAAAAAGTAATCCTGCAAGAGAAAGCTCTGAAAGCAAAGTCACAATTCAAAGATCTATTTCTTACCTTTTTTTTTTTTTTTCCTTTTCCTGTCCATCTGAATTTGGAAAGGAAGGAACAAGGTGAAATTTTACCTTCTTTTCTCAGCCACGTACCACAACTAGAGACAGAGATGGATGTGCTGCCTTTGGTCTGAATTCTGACTCTGCCAGCACCTGCCAGCTCCCCCAGGATCCTGTCTGCAGGCTCTGGAGCAGGGTGGGGTGGGGGGTCCTAGTGGGTCTCATCCGAGTCACCGGAAAATGTAGAGAAGGAAATATAATTTTCTCTGTGCCCTTTATGGTGAGAGTGTGGCTGCAAGGTGCCTTGTTCTCTCAGGGACCTCATAAATGGAGAAATTCGCCTAGGCTGAAAGTTCCCCAGCAGGGCCACGGTAATTCAAGGTTATCTTTGGTAAGCGTAGCCTGCTTGCTCAGCCTTCAAACAAAATTTTATTTACCCAAAGCCTCACACTGGACCCAGTTCAGCCTAAGTTGGACCCAGTCTGGCCCTGAACCCAATCGGGTTGCTAAGTTGGACCCAGTCAGTTTTTGGACCCAATCTAGAAAAATAAACGGTCGAATATATTCTGGAAGCTTATAAGGTGCAATCTGCGAAGCTAGAGTTCTAGAGGCCGTGAGAAAGCAGCAAGCTCAGGGGCTCATAGGGTGCCTATCTGGCTGCCCGTTCTTCCTGGGGGCCTTTGGTTTTCTCCTCTATCACCAAGACTGTTAAATGATGAGCTTGACGCATGTTAAAAATTTTAGGAGTTTATCTGTGCAAAAATTGATTTGAACAGTGAAGCAGCCAATCCAGCAGGTAGAAAGGAGTTACGAGGAGCTGTACAAAATGGAAGTCTTTTTCTTCCCCCTCAGAAAGGAGTGGGGACAAGGAACTTACACTAGGCTCGGTTATTGTACGGTTCCTGTCCTTTACGGGATGGCAGGGCTCTGTCAGGCGGGCTACCTAACAAGGGCTGCTCAGGCGAGTCCTGACGGACTGGGGTAAAGTCCATTTCCGAGAAAGACAAAACTGTGGTGAAGTCTTGGTTTGGTGACGGGAGGCTTTAGCATAGCGACTCCATTTGGGGCCTCTTGTCTTGTTTTTAACAGACCCATCAGAAAGCATATGGATTATTGTTTTATGTCTAGTAGTTACATTCTTAAAAGCGGTATTTACAAACTGGAAATTGTTTAGAGAAGAGAGACTGCCAGGATTGAAACTTTGTCCTATGATAAATGGTTGAAAGAAGTAGGAAAATTTGATCTGATAAGAGGAAAAGTCTCAGAAACCTGGTGAATCTTTTTAAACTATTTGAGAAAGAGTGTTAACACCATAAAAACAGAAACTTTGTTGTTGTTGTTTTTTTTTAAGGCTATATTACAGGCTAGAAGACAGTATCTAGCATTTGGAGATGCTTGCTTAATATCCTTTTTGTTACATAAATGAATGGAGGAAAGAAGTGAACATGTTCTGGTTGGCCCCAAAGGGTAGAATTTAGACTAATTGGGTAGGGATTAAAGGGAGACTGATATGGGCTCAGTAGAAAAGCACACACTATAACAATTAAGATCAAAGCTCTGATTTAAGAGTGCCTGGGCTGAGATGTGGCTTTCCCACCATCTACCATGTGTCCTGGGAGAAATCAGAGAATTTCTCAAAGTCTCAGTTTCCTCACATCTAATATGAAGTTAATAATTACAACTGCCTCATAGGGTAATCAGCACAATGCCTGCCATACCAGTAATTACTCAAAAAGTATTAGCTATTATTATTGTTTTGTTACTGTTATTATTCATCTCGTTAACCTTTGAGCTCACTATCAGGTCTCCTGGTACGTGACCATTTCCCTGATAGGAGGAGCTTTGCTTTTTCAGGTAACAATTCATTGCATTATTCAACTGTCAGGGATTTTATGAAAGAGGTTTCTCAACTGGGAAGAAGATGGGACTAAAATCCCTCTGCTTTTAACTGTAAAAAAAAAAAAAAAAAAAAAAAATCCAGAATTATACACCATACCCCAAAGCAGCAACTCAGGAGTAGTGGCCGAGTTTTGTGGCCCTAGTAGAGGCTAGGGTAGTAAGCCCGGACCCCACTGTTAGGTCCCCGCCCCTGGGTGACGAGAAGGACTGCAGTCATAAACACAGGGCCACGCAACTGCAGCTAACCTCCGCGAGGGCACGGTCACAGGGACAACAGATTTCTGTACAGTTTCCTTTCCTGGTTTCAGGCTATTTGAAATAATGAAACTACAGGAAGGGAACAGTGTACCAAGAATGTTTCATCCCGTTGGAAAAATAAACTTGTTTAAAATTAAATATTTTAAAAAAATTAACTATAATGAGCCTCCTGAGAAATAGGGACATGAAAAATATTAAACCTTTTTTCCGTCTCTCTGACCCAATATATCCCCTACAAACCTTAGCTTACTCCAACAGAGTAAAAATAAAATGTATTTGCATAATAAAGGAGGCAATTACACTAAAAGGTACAAAGCTCTTACCATTCAAAGCCTCAGCACTGCCAACAATTTCCTTTGTTTTCCTTCATTGTCAAGCGGTAGCTCATTTTTAGCTAAAAATATAGAATATGTAGATAATAGAATGTTCACAAAAAAAGTATAATATAGTTTGCTTTTAAACAAGTCAATAATAACTAAAAAGGCAACAGACAATAACAAAAAAGCCTGGTTTTGGTAAGAGGTAACCTATTCTACTCATTGCATGTGTAGTTATGAATAAAGAGTATAAAATAAAATTAATTTATTTGGGCTTTTCATTATTCCCCGTTGAAGGAAGAAGAAAAAAGACTCTAAATTAGGGATTAGAAGTCACCAAGGGGAGAGCTGTGTCAGGAACAGAAACAAAAAAGTAAACACAAAGAGAAAACTACAAAAAGAAAGAAAGAAAAGGGGTGAGGAAAGAAAGGTTATATTTTGAAATGCTCGTGCTAAATTTCAGTGCCTTTAAAAGCCCTTCTATTTATCAAAATGAACTGTATGTGCCTTCCGTTAAAACTTACAACTATACTTTAAGAACTTTGGAGTTCTAGAGACCTTTAAAATGTTCAAGAGGTGCTTTAATAGAAATGACTGCCACACTTTAAAGATGCAAATTA